GTATTTCTAGAAGTTCACCTACATTACATTCCCCTATACTGCAAGGCTCTTCCTCCTGAACGCAATCATTCCAAAACAGCATGCGATCAGGTACATCGTGTGTCTGCCTGCTACGAATTGGGAAAAACATTTACCATAATTTCCCATCCATTTCACTGGTAAGCTAGGACTCTAACATAAACACCACACAAAACGAGACATATCTATCGTAAACGAATTCTCAACATAATGAAGTAGATCATCTCTAAATTGTGAGCTCTTTCTATGTCTATTACGGTGGCTTCTCTTCCTCAACTTCCTATACCTTCTCATTAAATATGCGTTCACTCACCAATCCAGGCTGTTTAGATATATTCACCACACACTCTCACATCCTGAATCATTTAGCCCATACGGATAGTAGGTACACAGCTCCCTACACCACTAGTCTTCCCTTTCCAGTCTAATGTCCTTCTGAAATCATAGCTGTGCATCATCAAGGGAGCACACTCATACTTCGCGACAATATAAGGCTTGTGTGAAGGATAGTTTACATGAACAAGCGATGTCAGTTAGAAGTATGTAGTCATCATCCATTGTACGTACTACTGCATCACATTCACTAGGTCATCCCTGTCTTGTCTCCTTGCTTTTTCTTCCATCCTTATATGCACCATTTCTTTAAGTCAAATAATATTTTATTTACTTGGTCTGGAGTGTGGGACTTGATACAAACAGATTTACCGCCACAGATGGCTAACTCCAATTAGCCATTGACCACACAACTGTTATGGTACAATAGCAAGTAAACACTAGTTACAAGGAGCTGCCTTGACTAGACTCTGCAGTATCATTCACCATGAAAGCATCAGACGTTCCATGAAAGGTGAATATGGGCTCCTGTGTTGCCTTTCAGTATTGGTCGGGTCGCCAACAGAACCAGAAATGTATTATACACGTAATTTTTATATTTCCAGCAGAAGTAGTTCTGTAGGTTTGAGTGCACTTCCTGTGCATCTCATTACATATTCACTCTTTGTTTTCTTTCTGCTTACTGCTGCTAGAGCAATGGCGTCGCCTTAGCCAAGGAGAACAACATCCATCGTCATGTGTACTGTGCAGATTTTAAAGGGGCGAGTCTGGATCCAAGCCAAGCTGCATTCACTACGGCTGGCACCGTCTTTTTAGAAGGATCTTTTTTTTCTGGTAAACGCTTGGGGATAAAAACTTTTATGGCCTAGACGAGAGTAATTTTTACTTCTCCGGGCAAGAATAAGACGCTCTAAAATCACAAAAACTTGGCATTCTAAAGAACTTGCACACTGGCAACACACATGTACAGTAAGATGTATGCAAGAATGTAAAGTAAAGTTTGGCTCTTTGGGGTCCACAGCATCTCTCCCAACATTTTGTGCTCGCTACCTCTCTGTCTGAATGGAATGAGCAGTACATGTCCCTCTCTCTCACAGCAGACACAGCAGTATGTCCCTCTGTGCAGTTAGGGAAGGTCTTCCATGTACAGATGATGCCAGCACATATACCTAGGGGCAAATTTCAACAGTCATCTTGTGTGTCAGAAAGTACATGGCAGTGGGATTTAGGTCGTGGACACACAGAGCACGGGGGAGAGGTAGTGTTGTACCCAGTCTCCCTCTGTAAAGTGAGGGGAGCCAGGATATTAAGAGTAGTATGATTGTAAGCGACCTAGACTCCGTCGACAGCAACACACCCCCTCCCTTGCAAAGGGAATTGAGTTGTGTGTGGGGTATTGTCAAGAGACCTGGTTACATGCAATCACGTACGTATGAAAGTATCCTCACTTTTGTAGAGTGAGTCGAGGAACGAGGGTTTTATGTATTCATACGTAACTTACAGAGCCCTTCAAGGCAGCATGTGATCACTGCATTGTGCAAAGAGAACACTGGACAGGGTATATATGGTAGCGTAGGAGTCTAACAGTTGTGTACAGAAACTGCACAGTTCATGTCCGGCTGCAACACTGCATTATGCCCAGTGATCTAGTCACCACATTGTCAGGTCATTGGCAGTCCTAGGACCATGCAAGGGATCCTAGTACACATGCTGAAAGAAACAACAACAAGATACAACAACTATGTTGATGAGCTTGCGTAGCATTAACTTTAACCTGAGCGACATCTGGGAGCCAGCACTACATACACGCCCACAATAAACCTCAACCTCAGAAACATCAACTCAGGCTGTCAGCATGTAAACTGTTGTTCCTTTCTGGCCACAGCCCTTAGCCATAGCTTCCTTTTAAGTCTGTAATCATCTTAGTTGTGCAGTTCACTGAAGAAGGTCTACGAACCGAAACATGTGAACAATAATTAAGTTAATGCTACACAAGCTCATCAAAATAATTGTTATTTCATTTTGTCTTGTGCCTACTCTGAAGTAGCCTATGGTTCACTCTATAGCGAATACATGCTTACTGGACACGTAACACCAATTTCCTTGTACCTACATATGTACGTCTGTTGCTGCAATGAGCAATACATTAGTCTCTGTTTTTCCCCTCCTCAATGCTTAATGTCCTTCACTGTATTGGACTAGTCATAATTAGTTGACTGGTTTACTACAAGCATCTTAACATTATAGTTATTCCTACTGTATCTAATTGGTAAGCAAAGTGGTAGTTACCTGAATTGCCTGCACTTCTTTATGTGATGTATACTGCAATGTTGCCACCCTATTGTGATGTCCAGTGTAATCTCACATGTAATTCACGCATTCCCTATCTCAATGCTCCTTCACTGTATTTGACAACTCATAAGTAGTTGACTGGTTTACTACAAGCATCTTAACATTAAGAGGTAAGGTAAGCAAAGTGACTCTAGTGCTAGCTTCCTAAATAATGTATATATCAGTTCAAGTCGACTATGGAGGGTGAACAGTGCCTTTATTATGTCAATGTTGAATTTGTATATCATTTAACAGTGATCTTTGTGAATTACTCTCAGTGATTCCTGTTTTCATTGTGAAGGTTGATCCTCTCTCATCTCCTCTGGGGATAGCTGCTGGAAAAGGTCACACAGAGATTGTGGAGAAACTGATAGCAGCTGGAGCTGTCATCAACTACCAGAACAAGGTACGACGTTTTCTGTCTGCCAGTGTAACTTTGGAACACCTGCTAGTTCCACTGGGTTCTGTATAATGTTATTACATATACTCTTATATGCCTCTGGTGTAGAGAGGAATGTGATGTGTAGTTCTGAGGATGTTGATCATCTTGCTATAATTGTCATTGGATGCAAACACACATGTAAACTGAACAGCTCACGATCTTACATGGAGAGAATAAGAGAGAGGAGAGGGGCTTCTGAGGGCTTCACAACCTGCATAGCCAAACAACATCCACAAACACACAAATGGACTAGCCATATATATACATGCATGAGCTGATGCACAGAGCACAATAATTATACAGACATAGGTTATATCAGAATGATGGAAGGACTGTTAATGAAAGATTTGAAATGGTGTCGGATATATTAAAGAGTAAAAATTGTAATGAATAGCAGCACTCACGTATACAAACTAACAAATGTAGGGCAGCATCACTTTAGAGAAGGCATAGTGGGTGCCCTGGCCTTGAGTACCAAGGATGGTGGGTTAAAAGAGTCTTTTTACCACCGATGAACTCTCCCCACTGACCCACGCCTTTCTCACGGTGAGACTGCCCATAGTAGAATACAGGTTCTCAGAAACACAAAACACACCTCAGAGCTAAACACGACTTGCAAAGTGAATGACAATATTAAGAGAGAGCTTTAAAGAAGGGAGGACCCACACAGGCCATTGTAGATAGGAGTTTACAAAGGTTGTCGTCGGATGGCAACATGCTAGTAGATTGAAGGCAAACTATCATGTATATGTTATTACACCTTATGGAGTGGTGTTGCAGGTTTATCCGTCCGACACCCTGAGGGCGGATAAACCGCAACACCACGACAAAAGTTGTGATAAAACGTTTATTACCGTTGATTGGTCAGGGGTAGCTATGGCGGAGGCTTTTCGTTTGGAAGTACAGGGCTGGAATGACTCCTTTTAGCCGCTTGACGATGAACCAATGCCAGAGTGTCAGCAGTTTCGTGACTGCAAGTAGCAGCGGACATGTGACTGAAACCTGTGACGGACCGTCGCCCAAAAAGCGTAGCTTTCTCTCTCTCTCTCTAAAAGGAAAGGATAAAACCTGTTGAGCGGTTTCAGTTTGTGGATTCTGCCAAGAGCGAGGCTCTCAGCAAGAAGTTTGTACCAAAGAATACCGAAAAGGTACCACCTGTAAGGAACAGTTGCCTACTATGTATTGGCTACCCAAGCTGCATAAAACTCCATATGGGAGTAGGTTTATTGCAGCGTCAAGTAAAAGGTTCGACCAAGCCATTATCGGGGTTGCTGACAAGGTGTTTAACAACTACAAACACTGTTTAAAAAGAATATTGTGCTGGTATCTTCAGAAATACGGGGGTTAATTGTTTTTGGGTTATTAATAATGCGCAGTTAGTCTTACAATCAATGCATACACTCAACGATACTTCGGCGGCTAAAACCATTGACACCTTTGACTTTTCCACATTGTTTACAAGCATACCACATCATTCCTTGAAGAGCAGTATGAAACAATTGATAGAAGATGCCTTTAAGGTGAGAGGAGCAATGTATTTATCGAGAGGTAAATGTTTCTGGAGTACCGACAATAGGTATGAAATTAACATCAGTAAAGCTCAGCCAATAGATATGAACAGACTTTCTCCAGAGCAGCAGCAGCAAGAAGGACAGCACAAAGAAGCATAGCAGATGAGGAGCAGGCAGGTCCAGAAGGTAAAATAGAAGGAAGGTAGACAAAGGCACATCAGAGGTGTAAGATGGAAGAAAAGAGAAGAGGAGAAAAACCCGGGGAATATTGAGACAGGGTGAGGCAAGAATCACAATAAAAAACAGTCAAGATCATGGAACCATGAGCAACAAGTAAGTGAAACCAACAATACACAGGCATCAGAGGTACCAGGGAGCAAAGGCAAGCAGCGAAGGCACAGCAGGCAGCAGAAAAGGAGCAAAGTCAGGTCAGAGCATCACACAGCAAACAGAAGACAGCAGAAGGATGCAGGAGCAGACAAGAGAGAGGGAGCAGAGCAGCAAAAAGAAAGAGAGAGGGCAGGGAGGCAAAAGCCGCAGGCAGCAAGCAAGAAGCTATCAAAAGCGACAAGCAACTCTGCAGGAGGTAGAGCACAGCAAGAGGAAGCAAGGGAAATAGAAGGATCAGCAAAGGCAAACAGCAATAGGCAGCCCAGCAGGAGAGCAAAGCATCAGGGCAGAAAGGTCAGTCAATAGAGAGAGCAAGCAAGAGAAAAGGAGCAGGCAGTCACAAATTACGCAGGAGAAGCACAAAGTGATCAATGCATCACAGGAGAGAGCAAGACAACAACAAAGAAAGCAGGGAGCAGAGAGTCAGGAGTCCACAGAGATGGTAAGCATCAGAGCAGAGGGGCAGAGCAAGGACAGCAGTCAGTCAGCAGAAGCAGGAGAGAAGTAGCAGCAGAGAGCAAGCAAAAAAAGACAGCCAGAGGGCAGCAGCAGGAAAGAAGAGCCATAGATATGACAACTTTCTCATACATTCCGATGGCGATACTCTGACGCATGTGAGAGCAAAGAAGCAAACCAACATAATGTGTACATACATTTATTTAGTGACTGTGTCTGTGATGAACTCTGTGCAGTTGTTGGTGAGCCAAGCACGCCTGTACTTAGTCGTCTAAATTCTCATGAATGTATGTATCCAACAACGATGAGAAGGTCACTGTCTCACATACTGTAATGTTTTATGTAGACGAAATTGAATAGAAATTTAACAATTATGTTCCATGCTCGTAAGTGATTTTTTTACCAGACTGATGCACCATGAATATAGAGTAATGTTTTTAATGTGGTCTGTGAAGTGATAATGGTGTGTGGTAAGAGATGGGAATTTGACTGTGGTGTGTGTGCCCTTATTCACCACAGATCATTACTTGGCATTTCTATGTACCATGAGCATAGAGTAATGTTGTTAATGTGGGTCTGTGAAGTAAAAATGGTGGTGGGTAGTTGACTGTGGTATGTAATGCCTCATTGTACAGATATCATTTTTGGCATTCCTATGTACACACTGGTTTTCACTTTGGATGTACTACTGCTGTTTAGTGATGCCATGGCTGGTCTTGGCAATGTTATACCCATCTGGTTGGACCCTAAACTAATTTTTTTTTATATTAACGCATAATTCCAGCAATGATTTCCAATATGTGTGAGTGTGTGGTGCTACGTTAGGTACGGGACTTGCATGGCAACAACCATAATCTGTTAGAAACAGGACAAAATGGAGGGACAACCAAACGATATTTTGTCCTGTTACGTATGTACGTGCTTGTTGACTAAGTCGCTTTTACTTTGCATCAATGGAAATACAGAATTTACGGAGCCCTTAATAGCGTCAGACAGCTACAGCTCAGGGCCCCTCGGCCGTCTTAATCACGTATTTCTATTGACGCGCAGTATAACCTAAACCTATGCGGTTCTAATTAGTGCATTCGGATGGATTGGTAAACAATGTAATGCACTAGTCTACCTCTTGTGTATTACCTAACCTCGATCGTTATCAATCCTCCTTGTGCACTAAGACTTTACAATATGCACTGTGTGTTCCAGCCACTATGTGTGGGTCTGTGGTGCTAGGTGCTCAAGTACAGGACTTGCATTGCAACAGAAAGCCACTAAGAACAGGAGGGAGAACAGAACATAATTCTGTCCTGTTATGTACGTGCTTGTATTTCTCTTGTATGAGGGTTTGTATGACTGCTCTCTCTTGATATCTCTCTGCACAATTATGTCACATTTGACTTTCTCCTGTATATCTCTCTGTCACTCTTTCTCCTATACTCAGAATGGTGGTACTCCACTCTATGCTGCCTGTTATTATGGACACAAGCAGACAGTTGACGTTCTGTTGAAGAATGGAGCAAATGTTAATCTGACCACTACAGTGAGTTACGTATATTGAGGCCATTAATTAACCCTTGGTGCACATGGACTGAGAGGGTTATTGTACTATGTCTGGAGTGTGTGTATGTATCTCCTTCTCTCTGTTACCCCACAATGTGCAACACGGGGGCCACGAGTGACACATGCGTACACAGCCCTATTATGTCGCCACCTTTACTCACTGACATTAGTAAATGGTGTAAAGTGTGAGGACAATGGTGAAGGGATTCTGTAGATGGCTAAGAACGCAGCATTGTAAAACTGGTTAGTTGAGCGAATGTGGAAGTCTTAGACTTCACACAATGCAGTCACAAATGAAAACTGAGGAGAGGGCATTACCTGTCTAATGTCCTTATGAATCATAGCTGTGCATCATACAAGGGAGGAAATTTTACACGACCAAGCGATGTCAGTTAGAAGTATGTAGCCATCATCCATTGTCCTACTGCATCACATTCACTAGGTCATCCCTGTCTTGTCTCCTTGCTTTTTCTTCCATCCCTATATTCACCATTTTTTAAGTAGAAAAATTTTTTACTTACTTGGTCTGCCATGTGGGACTAAAAGTGATACCAACAGATTTACCGCCACAGATGGCTAACTCCATTTAGCCATTGACCACGCAACTGTTATGATACAATAGCAAGTAAACACTCTTTACAAGGAGCTGTCTTGACTAACTCTGCCGTATCATTCACCATGAAAGCATCAGAAGTTCCATGAAAGGTGAATATGGGCTCCTGTGTTGCCTTTCAGTATTGGTCGGGTCGCCAACAGAACCAGAAATGTATTATACACGTTAATTTTTATATTTGCAGCAGAAGAAGTTCTGTAAGGGGTGAGTCTGCATCCAAGCCTAGCTTCATTCACTACGGCCGGCACCGTCTTTTTGAAGGACACGTCCAAATTTTATAAGGAATGCTTTTTGGTAAACGCTTAGGGACAAAACTTTTTAGTTCTTAGACTAGAGTAATTTTACTTCTCAGGGCAAGAATAAGACGCTCTAAAATCACAAAAACTTGGCATTCTAAAGAACTTGCACACTGGCAACACACATGTACAGTAAGATGTATGCAAGAATGTAAAGTAAAGTTTGGCTCTTTGGGGTCCACGACATCTCTCCCAACATTTTGTGCTCGCTACCTCTCTGTCTGAATGGAAAGAGCAGTACATGTCCCTCTCTCTCACAGCAGACACAGCAGTATGTCCCTCTGTGCAGTTAGGGAAGGTCTTCCATGTACAGATGATGCCAGCACATATACCTAGGGGCAAATTTCAACAGTCATCTTGTGTGTCAGAAAGTACATGGCAGTGGGATTTAGGTCGTGGACACACAGAGCACGGGGGAGAGGTAGTGTTGTACCCAGTCTCCCTCTGTAAAGTGAGGGGAGCCAGGATATTAAGAGTAGTATGATTGTAAGTGACCTAGACTCTGTCGACAGCAACACACCCCCTCCCTTGCAAAGAGAATTGAGGTTGTGTTCAAGAGACCTGGTTATACACGGTCAGATATGAAAGTATCCTCGCTTTTGTAGAGTGAGTCGAGGAACGAGGGTTTTATGTATTCATACGTAACTTACAGAGCCCTTCAAGGCAGCATGTGATCACTGCATTGTGCAAAGAGAACACTGGACAGGGTATATATGGTAGCGTAGGAGTCTAACAGTTGTGTACAGAAACTGCACAGTTCATGTCCGGCTGCAACACTGCATTATGCCCAGTGATCTAGTCACCACATTGTCAGGCCATTGGCAGTCCTAGGACCATGCAAGGGGTCCTAGTACACTAAAAAAAGCAACAAAATACACTTACTGTCTGTTATGCCACAGACATCAACTCGGAATGAAGAATTATAGTTACCTTATGAACATTCACTGCAAAAGGGTTGCATTACACACTGGATTAGTACTGTACTACCTAGATGGCTGATATATCGGCTGCGAGGAGACCTTTTTGGCAGATATTACAGCTGACAACATTTTTATACATAGAACCTAACTAACATGATAAAGTCTCTTTTTTTCCAATCTGATGCTTGTTCTCGGGCTTAGCCGTGAGCAAAACGCTGAAATGGACTTACATATGACGTCATAATGCAAAGAAATTCCATTGGTGCATGACCCCACTGATATTATTGCTTTGAGAATGGGGAATAGTTCATGGCTGGAATGGTTGATGGCTTAAATAGACTTGTGGATGGATATGTTAATGAATGTGTACGTATTTACTGCGCGTAGGATTTAGCTTTTGGTAATTCTATAGAGACTCATTGCAATTATGTTGATGAGCTTGCATAGCATTAACTTTAACCTGAGTGACATCTGGGAGCGAGCACTGCTTGCCACACAATAAACCTCAACCTCAGAACCATCAACTCAGGCTGTCAGCACGTAACCTGTTGTTCCTTTCTGGCCACAGCCCTTAGCCGCAGCTTCCTTTAAAGTCTGTAATCATCTTAGTTGTGCAGTTCACTGAAGAACGTCTACGATACAAAACATGAACAATAATTAAGTTAATGCTACACAGCTCATCAAAATAATCGTTATTTCTTTTTGTCTTGTGCCTACTCTGAAGTAGCCTATGGTGGTTCACTCTATAGTGAATACATGCTTACCGAGTAACTGACACGTAACACAAATTTCCTTGTACCTACATATGTACGTCTGTTGCTGCAATGAACAATACATTAGTCTCTGTTTTTCCCCTCCTCAATGCTTAATGTCCTTCACTGTATTTGACTAGTCATAGTTAGTTGACTGGTTTACTACAAGCATCTTAACATTAAACTACTGTATCTAATTGGTAATTAAAGTGCATGGCAGTGGGATTTAACCTGAGCGACATCTGGGAGCCAGCACTACACACCACACAATAAACCTCAACTTCAGAAACATCAACTCAGGCTGTCAGCATGTAAACTGTTGTTTTCTGGCCACAGCCTTTAGCCACAGCTTCCTTTAAAGTCTGTAATCATCATAGTTGTGCAGTTCACTGAAGAAGGTCTACGAACCAAAACATGCGAACAATAATTATCCTTTTGAAGTTATTGCTACACAAACTCATCAAAATAATCGTTATTTCTTTTTGTCTTGTGCCAACTCTGAAGTAGCCTATGGTTCACTCTATAGCGAATACATGCTTACCGAGTAACTGACACGTAACACCAATTTCCTTGTACCTACATATGTACGTCTGTTGCTGCAATGAGCAATACATTAGTCTCTGTTTTTCCCCTCCTCAATGCTGAATGTCCTTCACTGTATTTGACTAGTCATAGTTAGTTGACTGGTTGACTGGTTTACTTAACATTATAGTTATTCCTACTGTTTGGTAAGCAAAGTTATCCTAGCTACCTACTTACCTGAATTGCCTGCACTTCTATATGTAATGTATACTGCAATGAAGCCACCCTATTGTGTTGTCCAATGTAATAATTCACACATTCCCCTCCTCAATGCTCCTTCACTGTATTTGACAACTCATAAGTAGTTGACTGGTTTACTACAAGCATCTTAACAGGTAAGGTAAGCAAAGTGACTCTAGTGTTAGCTTGCTAAATAATGTATATATTAGTTCTAAGTTGACTATGGAGGTGAACAGTGCCTTTATTACGTCAACGTTGAATTTGTATATCATTTATCAGTACTCTTTGTGAGTGGCTGGTTTACTCTCAGTTATTCCTGTTTTCTTTGTGAAGGTTGATCTTCTCTCATCTCCTCTGGGGAAAGCTGCTGGAAAAGGTCACACAGAGATTGTGGAGAAACTGATATCAGCTGGAGCTGTCATCAACTACCAGAACAAGGTATGAGAACGTAGATGTTTGTGCTACTCTATAGACATTCTCTTTTTTTAAAGCCTTGCTTTATAGTGAGTTCTGAAATCTGATTGGTTAATCAGAGGATTGCTATTGTCTTTACACTATTCCTATGAAAAACGACTAATAGAAATCCTTCCCCGCCCAGCATATAGCACTTTAGTCTATTTGGGTTCACCTGAGCCCAGCAAGTGGTTTTTATATGTTGATACAGGTACCACATCCTTTATTTAGGCATACTTTTCTTGTGGGACATATAGCTAACTTTTGACTGATAAGGTTTAGAACGCAGTCAGGCATATCATCAGAACAGAAAAATTGGGAGGACTCAAATGATATTAGCACTGGATGTATAATAAATAAGGTATAAAAATTTTTTGAGGGCTCAGCTGAAGTCAATACCTTGCCACATCTCTAAGTGTTTTCCTTGCCTTGGTCAATCAGTCAGAGAGCCAGAACTGGTCTCGCTACACCAACTCACTGCTCCACCTGTCACCATGAGCAATCTGAGTGTCCCCATCATGTGCTTGTCACTTGTCATTATGCACACATATATACGCAGCAAGGGTTACGGTACTTGTGGGGTAGCTATGAGAAACAAACAGAGCTCTTGGCTTCACAACTGGCTCTTTCCTTTTTCACCACTACCACTTGCTGGGTGACCAGCTGTGGGTGCTCTGCCCAAATGCATAACTAATACGTTAGAGTGCAAGGCAAGCAAAACAACGACACCCAGGACTGCTCCTTTTTACATGAATAAAAGATGGACCATCCAACGACACTATGAGAGTGGTCTACTGCGATGGCAGCTTACTGTATACAAGAACAAATGCAGCACATTTTGGCGAGGGAACGCGAGAGTCAGAAGTGAACAGCATAGACGATTTGTCTCTGTTACATCAGTGTGTCATCTGATATAATGGTAAAGACCCTCATTGAGACGACTTGCTTGCAAACAACACAATACATGCAAAGGCAACTCCCACTCTGTGTGGGACACAGGAATTCATAACTCAATGTACGTAGTTATAGGAGTAATTCACATGCGCACTTTTAATTGCTTAATGCACTGAAAAGTATGCATTCACTTGTTAATGCACTGAAGTCGTCAATAAAGGGCAAGTGTTTCAATAACTGGCCACGAATCAGATTTTATGTATTTCAGCAGGTGTGGGTGTTGTTGTTGCTTGCTGTGACTCCTATTTCAATAGATAGCTAATATTTTAGAGTCCTCCCTGGCTTTAGAAATGAATTTCTTTGATCCATAGTGACGTACATGGAAAAAGAACATCTGAATCACCAACAACACTGTCATACTTAGATATACATATAACTATAACAAATGGGAAATATTCCACGGCAGTATATGATAAACGGGATGATTTTAACTTCAAAATTGTAAATTTTCCATATCTAAGTTCCAATATTCCATCTGGACCAGCATACGGAGTTTATATTTCCCAATTAGTACGTATAGGTAGAATATGTAGTGATTACTCGGATTTTACGTTGAGACATTTCAAACTAACGGAGCGACTGATTCATCAAGGATACAGATACTCTGATTTGTGCAGGTCCTTTTATAAGTTTGCTAAAAACACGCACAAATTATGATTAAATATAGCTACGGCATACGCAAACATGTGGAGGATGGTATATGTCTGCCAGCAATGGATAGATTCCTCAGTCGCCATGTGTCGCATAGATAGAATGTATATTTATAGTCACATATTTATTTTGAATAATCTATTTTTAACATTTCTATTTCTACCATTTCTACTATTATTTATATTATTTATATTTTTCTTACACGTGTATATGATGTGCGTTATTTAAAGTAATCGACAGAACTATTAATCTTATTTTAGGAGTTCTATTTTTTCTATTTTTCTTACACGTGTATATGCTGTGCGTTATTTAGAATAATCGCACGTTTTTTATGTCTCCATCGTGTCGTCGTGCTGCGTGAGTTTCAGAGTTTTTATATTTTTCTATGAGTTTATTGGTCCTTTGAGGCTTTCTATTTTTCTACCGGCTGTTGTTTTTATCCTGTAGCTGTCGTTTTTTGTACATGATTTCTATCTATTTATTTTATAACTATGTGTAAGGGAGGTTTGGACACTGGGTGTGTAGGGAGAGTTGGGCCCATAAAAGACTCTTTAACCTACCGCCCCGGTTCTCAAGGCTGGGCACCCAGGGTCCTGCCTCTTTCTTTCTGTTTATATGTTATTGTCTGTGTTTTTGTACGCTTGGGTATGTTATTGTCTGTGTTTTGTGTGCTTGGGTGGGGGAGGTTCTTTCTTTTCCTCTGAGCTAGTATGCTATAAACATGTTTTTTCATGGAACTTCTTTAATAGGTAAGAAGATCCTACTGCCGAGCTGCCATTATAATCTTCCCATAAAGTGCATTTGGAAGATGTACTAGAATTGGCAATTATAACTTCTTGTATTTTTTTCCAGTGGGTACTGTGATAGGGTCTAAAACGTTTAGGACCTTTATATTCACTGACACCTTTTCATATTCATCTTTTTCATTCAAAAGAATGGGTTCTTCCAAATAAACTAAAACTTTCTTAGGAGAGGAAGTGATGGTAGTAGAAACCTTCAGCATTATTTCCATTCTTCGGCCACGTCTAGCCAATCATCTAGTAGAATTGGCTGTTGTTTATCAAACCTTTGAATTTTGCTTTGTTGTGACCTTTTGAATCCGACGAGTCGAACACTTGGTTTTCCATCCCTTACAGTTCCTTCGAAGTAGTCGTTATTCCTGCCTTTCTTTACGGGAGATAGGGAGGAAACTACTGCATGAAGAGAGGCAGTACTAATTGGTTCCTCCAAACTGAAATATATTAGTTCTTTGGGTATTGCAGGTTTTTTTGTTTTCTGAGTGGCATAACCACAGTGAGTCGAAACTAGGTATGAATGCTGGGGTTTCATGGGTTCTTAGCCATTGCTACATTGTATTGGGTAGGTACTACTTATAATGCTGTAAGTTCTGGAGGGCTAAAATATCTGAATGGAATAGTGCAGTAAACTGTGTCATGATCAGAATCTAGGACTTGAGCAATGACACTGCTAGATGGATTGAAAGATTGGACTCCTCATTGGTCTAATCAAGAGTACATGACAGAGAGAGAGTATGGAACTGCGTATACCTGCGTACAAACACTGTGTACAAAGTAACGTGACACGCATGTGATGAAGCTTTGTAAAACAATCCATAATCAACTAGTAAATGTCATCGCTTAAATTACGTGTTGTTTTACAAAGTTTCATCACGTGCGTGTCTCGTTAGTTTGTACAAAGTGTTTGTATGCAGGTATACGCAGTTCCATACTCTCTCTTATGTACTCTTGGTCTCATGAAGTCTCATAAGTTTCTGTTTGACTTAAGTAGTAACATAGGCAGTATGAGGGTGTGGCTCTGATATGCTTTTGACAGAAATTTGGATAAAAATATACAGAGGAACAAAATGCTGATATTATGATGAATGCTGAAGCAGAGTGTCATGATCGGAATAGTAGGTGTCTTGCACTTGAACTATTGAAAATATGTTACTGCCAGATGTATTCCTATGGTACACATGGTCTATCAGTGTGCCTTGAGCTGTTGTTGGGTATTGCACTAGCTGTTTGAAACTGAAAGTGGACATAACCTTCAAAATTGCAGTGTTTTGCTGATGAAATATGTCCTCATTAAAATCATCTAATATATTGTGTATGGAGGAGCTAAGTCTCTTCCAGTTGAATCATGACTGGTGTATTGACCACAATGAGGGCTTGTGTCCACATGCTGCATGAATCCATTGAATATGGCTAAACAGGGTATCACTATTATATACAAGTGGAAAAATCATTTCTTCAAAATGAAAGGAGGATATAGGGATGACTTCAAGCACCAAAAAGGAAGAAACAAGGGGTCATTACACACCAAATATGCTCAAAGCCACATGACACCATCCCTATATCTTTGTCTCATATTAAACTTTGCCTATGAACAATAAAACAAAGATATAGTGATGGTCTCATGTGGCTTTGTGCATATTTGGTGTGTAATGACCCCTTGTTTCTTCATTTTTGGTGCTTCAAGTCATCCCTATATCCTACTTTCATTTTGAAGAAATGATTTTTCCACTTGTTTCCACTATTTTTAACAGCTTATATGACAACACTGCATTTCAGTCACTCTGATGTTCATGGGTATGTTGTAGAGATAACTGTTGAAAGCAGAAGCTAATGGACTTCTCTTACCTGAAGCAGTGTCTCCAACAAGGACGCGATTAGGTTGTGGCACATATGGTGGTGGTTTAATTGGGCAGGCTTCAGAAATCAGACTACAATGATAGCTGGGGGACAAAGAATGAAGGCGCCTGGCAAGGCACGCGTAACACGGCACAGATTGCCAAGTTGCTCCTCGTGCAAATCAACAGCAAAACGCAAGCTAGCCACTTACAAATGTGCACACTGACTTACAGAAGGCACCGAAGGATGAGAGTAGTTTTCTCTGAAGGCATCCAGTCCTGGCTTAGTCTCGTTCATGGACCAGGTTTACGAGACAAAATGCGCGCGCACCGCATTGGAAACGCCTCCTCGGCGCATGCGGCTCACTGATGCTGAGTTAGCAACAAATGGCGTTGTTCAGTGACTACCGAGGAAGAGCTCAACGATCTACCGTAGTGACTTGCGGCAAGAAAGAAACGATCGCTTGATATGCATGCACACCTCCGGAAATTCGGAGACGTTCTGTGAAAAAATCACGCTTCAAGTGCTTCCGGTAAGGAGCTAGCGGGTCTGAAGAAGAAGATGAAGAATATGATGATGACACGAAAATCGTGAAATCGCGTATTAGCGATTCTCGCGGGACGACGCAGTCGTATGAGTCCATGTATATTAGATATGGGTCCGTAGACTATGCTAGTATGTTTTGAAGGCCTAGGGAGAGATTCTCACCGAGATTTTAGTCGTTTTGTACGCGGATCACGTGAGATTTCACCCGTGTCGTCCCTATATAGAGAGTCTACCGACTCTCTGATTTTTGCACTTTTGTACTCAACTGCTGGCATTGGCACTTGTACTCGAATTGCCTAGGAGGAAATTTTAACGTATGTTTTGAACATTTCTTTGCTGTGTTGTGCTTCACACACATACATCTTAAAGATACACATACCTGGAGAGTCTTGCTGTTATGAGACACTGTACACAAGGGGTATGCACAATGCGAAACATTGTGACTGTAGCCTTTTGCAAACCTGCTGTAAAGTTGCAGATCAATAACTTTCTGCGATACAGTAATACAGCCCTATATTGTTGAGTGTGCTCCTCATATTTCCTAAGCAAGTGTGACAGCTCCTCAGTTTTGGTTGTGACTACATTGTGTGCAGTCTAAGACTTTCCTTTTCGCTCAAGTAACAATGCTGCATTCTTGGCTCTCCATTCACCATTGTCCGCACACTTTTGAAAATTCATGTTGTGAGTAAAAGTGGCGACAATATAGCTAGGGTTTGTGTGGAGGAAAATGTACATGAGCGAGCATTTTCAGTTTTAAATATGTAGCCATCAACCATCACTACTGCATCACATACACTCTGTCTTGTCTCCTTGTTTTTTCCCCTATATTCACCATTTTCAAGCACCATTGCATTAATCGCTCCATTCCGCATCCAGTCGTATGCGGCACTGTAGTCCTAGAAGTCTGCAAACCCCTGAACAGACTCTCTCCATACATTTCTATGGCATACCTCTGACTGCATGTGAGAGCAAAGCATTTGCAAAAATCAACAAAATGTGTACATAGGTTTGTTTAGTTGCTATTTCTGTGATGAACTCTGTGCAGTTGTTGGTGAGCCAAGCACACCTGTACTTAGTCGTCTAAATTCTCATGAATGTATGTATCCAACAACGATGAGAAGGTCACTGTCTCACATACTGTGATGTTTTATGTAGACGAAATTGAATAGAAATTTAACAGTTGTGTTCCATGTTCTTCAGTGATTTTTTTACCAGACTGATACAGCATGAAGATAGAGTAATGTTTTAATGTGGGCCTGTGAAGTGATAATGGTGTCTGATAAGAGATGGGTAGTTGACTGTGGTGTGTGTGTGTCCTCATTGACCGGAGATCATTTTTGGCATTCCTATGTACACACTGGTTTTCACTTTTTAGTGATGCCATAGCTTGTCTTGGCAATGTTATATCCATCTGGTTGGACCCTAAAGAACCTATTCATACAGATTTCCTTCCATGACTTCCAATATGTGTCAATATGTGGTGTTAGGTACAGCACTTACATGGTAACAGAAAGAGGCACTGTGATCTCTACAAAAAGGCCACCATAATCTGTTACAATCAGGACAACCAAACAATAGTATGTCCTGTTATGAACATGCTTGTATTTCTCTTGTATGAAGGTTTGTATGACTGCTCTCTCTTGATATCTCTCTGCACAATTATGTCACATTTGACTTTCTCCTGTATATCTCTCTGTCACACTTTCTCCTATACTCAGGATGGTGCTACTCCACTCTATATGGCCTGTCAGAATGGACACAAGCAGACAGTTGATGTTCTGTTGAAGAATGGAGCAAATGTTAATCTGACCAAGACAGTGAGTTTAATTAAAACCCTTTGTGCACATGGACAGAGAGGGTTATTGTACTATGTCTGGAGTGTGTGTATGTATCTCCTTCTCTCTGTTACCCCACAATGTGCAACACGGGGGGGGGGCTAATAGTGAAACCACTAATTTAGTGCTACAGATGGTTATCTGCCATTAAACACATATCGACGTTGAGCCAGCGATACCTAAATAGAACGTTTAAATAATTATTATTGCACAAAGTGAAGTAAACATCGAATCACAATTATGCTAATTGCAAGGGGTTACCTCGACCAGAGTCGGTCGTATCATATACCATGGTAGCATCAGATGATACATGAAAAGTGAGTATGGGATCCAGTGTTGCCTTCCTACCTCAGTATTATTGCTAGCTTCTGTAAGAGTTAGAGAATAAGTAAGTATACACATAGTGGGTACTGTCGATCGATGACCTTGATGTGCATGAAGTGTTTTTCTGACGGCTCAATTTTTATCTCGAATGTGTGTGTGTTTACTGCTATAGGATTTGCAATTTTAGTATTGTCTTGTGCCTACTCTGAAATAGAAAACAGGAACCTATAGTTCATTCTTTAGCAAAGAGGTGTAGCCAAATTCTTGTTGTCGAGCGGGAGCGAGCCACCCTAGTCGTTACGGGCCCAGTTTTCCAGTCTGACACTGCCACTCAAACCGTAATTATTGTACATGATTCCAAATCTAGAACTTAATTTGCCCCACACACGTGGAGGGTTCAACAGCAGCCTATCAGTACAGACGCCAGGTAGAGAGAGAGACCGACACTGTCAGCCCCTCAGAAACTGTGGAGGCCCGGGAGTGCCAGGGACCATCCTTGTCACAGACAGCTCATTGCTTCTGCAACGTAGGGCACGGGAGAGAGCATGGAGTGCAGCACGATGTGTAGATAGAGATTCACACCTGCAACAGATGAGAACCGCCGACCGAAAGAGACGTTTGCTGGAAACTTTGTCACAGACACTAACGACCAGCAGTGGATCACGTCTGAAACATCAGAAAACACAGCACTTTCTTTGTAATGCATATTCAATATTCACCAATGACCGCAGTTGGATCGCTTCTGTTCGCCAACAATGCTAACTATTCACCTAGTATCTACATAATATTATGTCTTTTGCTGCAATGGGCAAGACATTGTTCTCTGTTTTTCCCCTCCTCAATCCTCAATGTCCTTCACTGTATTTGACACTATACTCATAATTTGTTGACTGGTTTATTCCAAGCTTTTATCATTAAGTGATTGTAATTTGCTAGCAAAGTGATCTAACCTGTTCCCGAAGTGATCCAAAAAAATTGTGTGAGTAGCCTCTGATCCTTATCAGAACATCAGTAGAGACTCTAATGT